GGCTAGCCTGGGCAAGACAGATTGTCCAAGGAAAGAGAGGAGGTAGAAGAACCCAGAAATGCTTACTTTCACCCAGTATTTATTAGATCAAAACTTCCACCAGTTTCAGCTGCAGATCTAAAACTGGCCCAAGTCCTCATAAGTGAATGCCTGCTGGGTTTTGGTGCTATATAATTCAAAGGGCCTCCACTAAGGTTTTATTTTTCTTCGCTTTCTCTCTGATCTTCATACCATACAGATCTTTGAGCTGAGGTTGATTCCCACCCCCCCCCCCCCATGTCTTCTATTAAAGACCACATACACTAACATTGTATCTTGCCTGGTACATACTTGCTCTGTTTAACATAAAGATTCATAGAGATTCACAAACTATCCTACCAACCCTCCCATCTTCCAGAAGGATTTCTCTACATTTCCATGTATTCCAGATCTATAACATGAAGTAAAGTCCTATGATAGCTGTGCAACAAAGTATCTAATAATATGACCTTCAGACACACTGACCAAATGAGTCAAAAGACTACCACTTGGTACCCGTGTGATGTCAAACCAATCCCCTAAGTCTCTTCCTTTCCCAACATTTGACATGATTATAGTAACACTACCTAAAAAGTCATACATTCATCAAAGGTTTGAAAATATAGTTAACTCTTTGGCAGTTAAAGGATTTTCAGAATGAAGGAAAAATACTACTTCATTCATCTCTTGAAAGAGAACAATCCCATATAAAATTATAAGAAAGGGGTGTGTGTGTGTGTGTGTGTGTGTGTGTGTGTGTGTGTGTAAAAGTTCTCATTGGTAAAAAAGAATACCAATACTAATTTTAAGCCAGGATATGGAGGCACATGCCTTTAATTCCATCACTTAGGAGGCAGAAGCAGGTGGATCTCTGAGTTGGAGGTCAGCCAGGGCTATACATAGTGAGGAAAGCACTCTAATTTTAAAAATACATATTGAGAGCTGGGAAAAATGGTTCCATGGATAATAATGGTTCTTGTGCAAATATAAGGACCTGAGTCTCAATGGCTAGCACCCAAGTGATAATCCAGACATGGTCATGTGTATAGGTAGACTTTCTCTGTCTCTCCAGTCAGTTCTGTCCTGCCAGCCCACTCCCAAATAACCACACAGAGACTTATTATTAGTTATAAATGCTTGGCCAATAGCTTAGGCTTGTTCTTAGCCAGCTCTTACATCTTTAATTGACCCATATTTAATATCTACAATTCACCATGTGGCAGTACCTTTTTTCAGCATGGTAAGTTCATCTCCTGCTTCCTCTGTGTCTCCTCACAATTCCTGTGGCCCCACCCTTCTTCTTCCCATTGTCCTCTCAGTTTGGCTCTCCACCTAACCTCTTCCTGCCTAGCTATTGACCAGTTAGCCCTTTACCAAACCAATGAGAACAACAAATACAGTGCACAAAAATATTGTTTACAGCATTTCCCCCTTTTTGTCTAATTAAAAATGAAGGTTTTGAGCCGGGCGGTGGTGGCGCACGCCTTTAATCCCAGCACTCGGGAGGCAGAGCCAGGTGGATCTCTGTGAGTTCGAGGCCAGCCTGGTCTCCAAAGCGAGTACCAGGAAAGGCGCAAAGCTACACAGAGAAACCCTGTCTCGAAAAACCAAAAAAAAAAAAAAAAAAAAAAAATGAAGGTTTTACTTTAACAGTGAAATTATATATAACAAAAACAGTTATCAAGTAAGAATTATAGTTATAATATTCAATCCATTTGTATTTGACAAATTTAGAGAAAATACTCTATCATGAGTCTAAAGTTTTATACCAAATTCACCTTTTATCATAACTAAGAAAAACATTAAGTCTAATTATTTAGTCTTTAACTCCATCAAAGACCCAGAAGCATGTAATCTTACCTAATGACAGGGACATCTGGCTGCCTGAACAGTCACCCAAAGTTCTTCTGTAACACTGGGGCATCCATCTTTGGCCTATAGGCCTAGTATATCTGACAGACATTTATGAGAAACAGGGGATTTTAAAGGACTGTCCTACCTTGTCTTGGCAAAGTTTGGCAGTCTCTTTTTTTGTATGTCCTACTGGTCCAGTTTGGACAGTACTGTCAGCAATTGAGGCAAGGGAAGTTTTTTTGCCCAAAGGGCTAGCTTTTGCTATAAAGAAAGCAAACTCCATACAGAGTTTCTTTGATGCCCATCATCTTCTCTGAAGTAAATTGGTGCTGCCAGAAACAGACATGTTTCACTGTCATGAAAAGCTTTTTGTTATTAAAACATTTTAAATGCCATATTCTATAGATTTTTGAAGTGTTTGAAGATCATCTATCTATCTAAATATATTTGTTTAAAATTGAAAACATACCTAATATGACTACCTACTAACCTGTATTTTTATATTATATTATATTTTTATATTATATATTTTCAAATGAGCTCCATAAGCATAATACCCCAAACAAAAGTAGAAACATACATACAGTATAACACAAATAACTTTAAATGTGTATCAATAAATCAAAATCCATACCAATGTAAAATATTTTGAGATTAATAGTTGCTTTTTGTATTAAAGTAGATTCAATAATCTCAGCTTTTATCACATCATTTCTATATTATATCCCCATTTTTTCCTTTAAAAGAGATCTTTGAATGTAAGTCCTTTGTGTAGCTTTTTTTCTGACTATGACCAAAAACAGCTTGGAACAAACCCCCTAAACAATGATAAACATTCATAATCCATTGAATAACCAAAACCCACCCACATCCCATCTCTTGGGAATGTGATCACTGGTGTCTTTGAAGGACCATCAGAAAATTCAGGATAATTGTTCAGCCTTGGTTGGAGTAGTATGTGAGGCTGGATCATTTCAGCCAGCAGCCTTGAAGCTATTCTGGATGTAGAACTCTGAGGAAACTGTAACAGAGGTACTCTGAGATGTTGAATCACCTGGTGCATCCGTTTTCATTGGTGTCTGGTCACCTTGTTCTGAAAATACATAAACTTTTAAATGTAACATGTAAACCTGTATTAATACAAGTATAGACTGTGCATTGTACACAAGTTAGTCAAAGATAATTTTTTGGTTTTATGTTTGACAGGTAAAATATACCTTATGTGTCTTGTAGTTTTTCTAGGTTTATTTCTTTATGTTTATAGCCAGAATTTTCAGGGGGTCTTCCTTGATCAAATCTGATCTCTATTAATTTAGAAGGAATCCACAGCCTTTCATTTTCTATGGAAATAAAAACATAACCTCTTCTCCAGAGCATTTTTTTTTACTTCCATTTTGAAGTTAAGACATTTTCAAAATGTACAGGTTGGCTTAATCCAACAGCTTCCATAATGCAATGAGTCTTAGCAGTTATCACTCATTCATCTAACCTAAATTTAGAGACAACACAATAACATACAGGATTCAGAATCCCTGTGTATTTTCCATCTTTACATGACTTTTTAATTTTATATTACTTTATGACTTTTTAAAGGACTTTGCTTTATTATTATTATTTAAAAATTTATTTATTTATTATTATACAGTATTCTGCCTGAATGTCATAAGAGGGTGACAGATCTCATTATAGATTGTTGTGAGCCACCATGTGGTTGCTGGGAATTGAACTCAGGACCTTTGGAAGAATAGCCAGTGCACTTAGCCTTTGAGCCATCTCTCCAGCCCCACTTTTGTTTTATTCTTAAACCATTTTTTATTCGAAGACTGTATATATCCTTTCTCTTTTCCTTCTCAAGCCCATGTATATTTTTAAACACACTGCTACCTGTTTAGGGGTTTCTTTCATCTGTATCTGTCTTTATTGAGCATCTGTAGTGTTCTTTGATTGCATGACACTATTCTTAAACTGGTATGTCAGTCACCTGTCCTGCCCAGCTTAATGCATGATGCTAGTACATGGAGGCTGGTGGCTGACTCCATCCCACAGGCAGCTGCTGGGAGATGTGTCTCTTTATTGAGACTGGCATGAGATTGTGAGACTAGTAAGCCATGTTTGGCTCTGTTTTTGTGTGTTTGGAACCTTTTCTTAAGCTTTCTCAGGTCCTATGTGGATGCAGGTGCCAGATGCTGGGCAACAATTGTAAGCAGACATTCTCTGTTCCACTGGTCAGTTCTGTCCTGCCAGGTGGCTCCCAGATATCCACACAGAGACTTATTATTAGTTATAAATGCTCAGCCAATAGCTTAGGCGTGTTAGTAACTAGCTCTTATATCTTAAATTAACCCATATTTAATATCTATGTTCTACCATGTGGTGGTAGCTTTTTTCAGCACAGCAAGTTCATCTCCTCCTTCCTCTGCATCTTATTGCAACTACCATGACCCATCCTTCTTCTTCCCATCATTCTCTGTTTGGCTCTCCCATTTAACCTCTTCCTGTCTAGCCATTATCCAGTTAGCCCTTTATTAAACCAATGAGAGCAACGAATATTCATGGTGTACAAAATGATTGTTCTACAGCACGTATACTCACCTACAACTCCAAAGCTGAGGGACAAAGCAGGAGAAAACAGGAATCAGTGGACTTATGCACCACCTGCCTACCTGTAACTTTCTGAAAGACCCTGTCTCAAGAAAATAAGGTGAAGAATGATAGATCAGGATATCTGATATCTCCTCTGCCCTCTACACACATGCCGATACCCATACTCACATATAGCACCAAAACACACTAAACATATTTTTTAAAAAGAATATGTATTTTGCTTCATCAAAAGTCAGAGATTCCCACTGGTAACTAATGAGCATCCCTAATCCTCATGGTAAAGAGAATTCTCAAGCCATGGCACCTCACTTAATAAGTGCCTCAAGGGAGCAATGAACTAATTGCTTAGAAGCTAAGTAGTGAGTGAAACTGCTATTTGAACATCTTCTGTTAGGAATATGTATATAGTGTCTTCAGGGGTGAATAGGAATTCACCAGGGAAAGAATGGGGCATTGAGCCTTGAAAAAAGAAGCCAGAGGCCTGAAGTACATGCTTTTCCCCATCTTTGCTGTTCCCTTTCTAGTCAAACATATTTTCTGGAGCCATATTCATAAAGCTGGCATTCGGATTGGACCTTTACCTGTCGATCTTCATCCTTTTGGCTATCACTGCTGTTTTCACAATCACTGGTGAGTCCTCTGTGTCCTTGGTTGAGTTGTGCCAACATACAGACTCAAGGTAAGCCTTGGCTACAGAATAAGACTCTATTTCAAGCACAGACAAACTAAGAATCAAGCTTGTGACTCAGCCAGGAGTTTCTCTGTTTTCTTGCTTTGTTTTTTGGTTACGAAGTCTTAGCTACCCAGTCTGTCCTTGGACTGAGTCTGGACCTCAGAGGACCTTGAGGCTTACACTCTTTTGGCCTCAACCTCCCAGGTAGCTGGACTAACAGGCTCCCTCCTGACAGCCAGGGGCTTTGGATGCTTCTTCCTGCCATTTTTAATATTTCCTTATGCATCTGGGCTGGAGGAGAAGCCAGTTCTGAGGGCAAACACATAACTGCATGTGGATAAAAGGCTGGTTCCTCTCTTTATCTCCACAGGGGGCTTGGCATCCGTGATTTACACAGATACTCTCCAGGCCATTATCATGCTGATTGGATCTTTCATCCTCATGGTGTTTGGTAAGCCAGGACTACATCTATAGATCCCTAGATTCTTGTTTCTGTCTATCTGTCCATTATTGCTTCCTTCAAATTCTCCTGAGTCATATTTTCCTGTCACTATTATAATTCCCATCATGGAAATGTTTGCCTAGCATCTTTCTTGTTTTATATTACTGAAAAGAAGAAATGAATGAGTTTTATTTCCTTTAAAAATATTGCTTTGGTTATTTATGTTATTTAACCTCCATTTCTTTGTCTTCAGAATGGATGACACCCCTTGGTTGATAACTTCAGAGGCGTATTGGTGCATTGGATTGAAAGTATAAAAACTTTTGATTTCTGTTGTAGTTGGATCAGTAGGACAATAACTGTTAAAGTAAAGGAGGCCATTGTGAGTGAAGCAAAACCCCTAACTAGACCACTCCCTGGGTAGAAAAACAGTTTATTGGGGAGCAAACTGCCAGGTTATCTCACAGGAATAGAAAGCAGCTGCTCAGCAGGAAAGCAAGTGGATTTGATGTGGTGATCAGCAAGATGTTTGGTCCTTTAGCTGATGTGGACTGCTCTGGCTAATCAGGAACAGATGCTCTTTGCCCCTCAGTTGACCTTTAGTTCAGAGAAGAGAAGTAGTGGCTTCCCTGACAAACAGACGCCTGACATAAAGTTTTCTGAGGAATGCCGAGTTTAGGTTTCTGTTTACCTGGGACAAATCCTTATGGTTGTCCAGTAAAAACCAGACTGGGTTGGACTTGGGCCCTCATCTTATGATATTGTCAGCATTGCCATTTGGGGGCCTGCTTCGTTATCTAAAGATAGATAGATAGATAGGAGAGGGGGAGAGAAAGAGAAAGAGAGAGAGAGAGAGAGAGAGAGAGAGAGAGAGAGAGAGAGAGAGAGAGAGAGAGAGAACAATGATGAGTACAGGGGAGGGATTGGAGTAGAAAGAAGAGAAGAGTGAAAATGAAGTTACAATTTAAAAAAAAAAAAGCTGTGCAATGGTAATGCACGCCTTGAATCCCAGCACTGTGCTCTGGAGGCAGAGGCAACAGATCTCTGAGTTCAAGGCCAGCCTGGTCTACAGAGTGAATTTTAGAATAGCCAGGACTACACAGAGAAACCCTGTCTCAAAAACAAAAACAAAAAAAGACCAAAATAATCAATTCAAAAAACAAAAACTTACTAAAATAAAAACCTTTTTGATTTATCTAGAACTTTTACTAAATAGAAAAGTAGTATTAGAAAATTTCAGGTAACTATTAACCGGTTGTATTATTTTATATAACAATCTATTGAAAGGGGGTACTCTGAATCTCTTGCCTGTACATAGAACCCTTTTCCTCCTACTGAGTTGCCTTATCCAGTCTTGATATGAAGATTTGTGGCTGGTCTTATTGTATCTTGTCATACCATGTTTGGTTGATATCCCTGGGAGGCCTACTCTTTTCTTAAGGGAAATGGAGGAGCAGTGGATCTGGGGGAGAGGAGAAGTATAGGGGTGAAATGAGAGGAGTGGAGGGAGGGGAAGCTGTGGTAGGGATGTATATCAGGAAAGAAGGTCACTGAGGTTAGCATGGACTCCACTTCAGGGAATAATTATTAACAGCAGCTCTCTGCAATGTGCAGGAGACACTTTATTTCTCTAATGCTTTTGCAGCATTTATTGAAGTTGGAGGCTATGAAAATTTCACAGAGAAGTACATGAATGCCATCCCATCTGTAATTGAGGGGGACAACCTGACAATCAGCCCCAAGTGCTACACTCCTCAGCCGGACTCCTTCCACATCTTCCGAGATGCTGTCACTGGAGACATTCCATGGCCAGGAACTGCATTTGGAATGGTTATTACAGCTTTGTGGTACTGGTGCACAGACCAGGTAAGTGATAAGAATGTGTGTGTTTTTGTGTGTTGCTTCTTCTCATCTCATACAAAAGCATCTAGATTCTGGATTCTACACACAAACATCATTTTTAAAAGCCAAACATTTCCACAAGACCAGTGAAAAAAGCTTCCTGGTGCCACACCCTACGTTGTATCATGTCCATCTGAAGCAAACAGAGCAGGCTCCTTCAACTAAGTGTTTTGCTATTTATCATCATTCTTCTTGTATAGAAAGAGTGGTCTATAAACCATAAGCACAGACAGGACTCCATCACAGCCATTCAATATTTTGAGTTTAGCATCATTGATATGAAACTTTTGCTTTACTGGGACAATGGATGCTGGTCAGCTGGGGCTTTGAAATCAGCCATGATTAAGAAGCATCCAGCATCTTTGATGTGAAGTGTTCTGGGAAGTGTTTCCTGAGGGCTGACACACACAAGCTGTGGCCCAGAAGCAAGGCTGTACCTAGTGCTGGCAGCCAAACTTAGTAATGTGTAATAGTTTTCCAGGTAGTGCTGGTTTTGAAGTCATGAAGGGGCTGTGGGGAGCCACTGAGGCTTGGCACTGTGAGAGGAGAGTTCAGGAGAATGTATTAATAAAGGTGCAGGCTTAGTTGCAGTAGAAGCCCCAGGATTGACAAGGCTATGGAAAGAAGTGGAGGCTTGGTATGATGTGACAAAGTCAGAGTCACCCAAGAGAGGCCAGAACATGATACTGGTGAAGGTGCAGTTCAGTTGCAGTAGAGACTCCAGCGTTTTGAAGATGCAAGGATCACAAGATGATCACCAAGGGTAGAAGCAGGAGTAGGGTGGAACCTGCCTGAGCCTAGGAGACAAGCTGCATGTGCTTCTGTCTTAGGATTCATATTTGCTGAGACGAAACACCATGACCAAACAGTAAGTTGAAGAGGAAAGGGTTTATTTGGCTTACACTTCCACATCACTGTTCATTATCAAGGGAAATCAGGGTAGGAACCTGGGGGCAGGGGCTGATGCAGAGACCATGGAGGGATACTGCTTACAGGTTTGCTTCCCATGGCTAGCTCAGTCTGATTTCTCATAGAACCCAGGACCAACAGCCCAGGGATGGAACCACCCACAGTGGACTGGGCCCTCCCCCATCAATCACTAATTAAGAAAATGCCTTACAGATGGATCTCATGGAGGCATTTCCTCAACTGAGTCTGCTTCCCTCTGATGACTCTAGCCTTGTGTCAAGTTGACATAAAATCAGCTAATACAGATCCAGATGGCAGGTCCAGTGAAGAGCTGCTGCCCCAGCCATTTGGAGCTCAGAGGATGATGAATGGGTTCCAGGCATCAAGCACTGAGCTTATAACACTCTTGAGTCTTAGCTTTGCTTTGATCTGATTGTGACTGTGATTCTTCCTGCTTTGGGTAAGAACTACATACTTTTGATTTTTGGAGATCCCACAGTCAAGAGACTTTGGAATTTTAGAGAGACTTTGGCTATTTTAGAGAAATGCTATACTTTAAAAGAAACTTTGGGGATGATTTGGGAGGAATTATGGGAAGGGAAAGACATAATTAGAATATATTTATGGGAAAAATCCATTTTCAATTAAAAATTATGAGAAAAAAGAATACTTTGAATTTTTTAAGAAACCAAACTTTTAAAAATGTTTGAAATTTTAAAGACTGTGGGACTTTCAAAACTTAAAATATTTTATAGTATGATATTAATATTAATATAAAATCTTCAAGGTAAACAAGAAAGAGAAGATTGGAGTCTGTCAGTGATGTGTTAAAGTTGAAAAGGGGTCAATTTTGCTGCATAGCTTTGTGTCAACTTAGCACAAGCTAGAGTCATTTTAGAAGAGTGAACCTCAGTTGAGAAAATACCCCACCAGATTGGCCTGTGGGAAGGCCTGTGGTGCATTTTCTTAACTGATGATTGATGTGGGAAATTCTAGTTCACTGTGGGCAGTGCCGCCTCTGGGCTTAGGGTCCTGGATGCTCTAAGAAAGCAGGGTGAGCAAGCCATGAGGAGCAATCCAGTGAGCAGCACTCCTTCATGGCCTCTGCTCTACTTCTTGTCTCCAGGTTCCTGGATTCCTTCCCTGGCTTCCTTCAGTGATGGACTTATAAACTGTAAGGTGTAATAAATAATTTTCTCTCCAAATTGCTTTTGTTTGTGGTGTTTTATCACAACAGTAGAAACCCTAACTAAAGGCAATAGTCAGAAGAAAATATCCCTATTTTTGACAATATTTTAGAAGAAAATACCAAGAAGTTATAGTTTTATGAGGAGCTTGGGATAGATAGCAATAGAGCACCTGCCTGGTGTATTCAATATCCTGGGTTTGAACCCCCAGCACTGCAAGATGTGGGGGGAGAAAAGAGAAGTGTACAAGACATTATGGAATTGTTTTTATCCATCATGCTTTTCTACAGAACTCTTAAGAGATTTGCATAAGTTCAGTAGAATATAATTTAAATTTATATTCATTCTTCTCTGAGGATCATCATGGGAACAAAATATGATTCACAGCTAGGTGTTCTCAGAACATTCTAAAAATAATCTACATGGATGTCTCAGTGATCTACTTACTGCCTGATTATTGTGTTCCCACAGCAACAGGTGTGACTAGTCTAAGAGGCAATTACCTCATAATAGTAGGGAGATCCTGATGATGCCTACAATATTTATTCACAGCTTAAAACAGAACACGGGGCAGCATTACTACTAATAGGGACTATCTAATGCAGCCCGGACACTATGCATTCTCATGAACATAGGCACATACTTGTCACAGCACACCCGTAGAGGTCAGAGGACAAGCACAGATGTCAGTCCTCACATTCCACCTGGGTCTCTTGGTCACTGCTTCATATGCCAGGCTAGCTGGCCAGGAAGTTCCTGAGGGTTTTCCCATCTCTGTCCCCCATTATTCATAAAAGCACCAGGATTGCAGATAGATGCCACTCTGTCCAGGTTTGCGTGGATTCTATGGACACAAACATGAATCCTTGTGCTTTCACAGCAAATACTTTACCCACTGCGACATCTCCCCATGAGTGTCTAAACACATGTTAACTATAGCTAACATGTATTGACTTCCATATACCAAGAGTCTTACACACATTGCTCATATTCAGAATGTTATGAGAGGGGTATGACTGCTTGAGGAATGAAGCCACATAGTATATTAATTAAATGGTACTTCAAATTATAATATTCCTCCAGAGCTCATTAGTTTCCACCAACATCATTATTTCTTATTGCCATTTTAAACTCTGAAAGACAGCTTGGACATCATTCTCTGGTTGTCTCACTCACTGTATTGTGTTTTCCTGGCAGGTCATTGTACAGCGCTGCTTATGTGGCAAGAACATGTCCCATGTGAAGGCTGCCTGCATAGTGTGTGGGTACCTGAAGCTGCTGCCCATATTTTTTATGGTAATGCCAGGGATGATCAGCCGCATCTTGTACACAGGCAAGCCACAGACACACTTAATCTCAATTTTATGTTTAAATTCTTATGTGTTTTAAATTTTTTTTAGATTTATTTTCTGTGTATGGGTGTTTTGTCTACATGTATGCCCGTGTGTTACATGCATGCCTGGTGCCCACAGGGGTCAGAAGATGGCACCAAATCCTCTGGAACTTGAGTTATGGATGATTGTGAGCTGCCATGTGGATATTGGGAACCAAACCCAAGTCCTCTGCAAGAACAGCAAGTGCTCTTGACTGCTGAGCATCTCTCCAACCCCAAGTATTTTTAAGATATAGCAAAACCTTAATAGAACAGGAAACCTGTTCTAGGTAGAAATAAAAGGAGAACTCAAGGATGTGAAAATAGCTTGTACGAGTGTGTCAGAGGCAGGAAAATCAGTTAAGTACATTTGACACCATTTCTCTTTATACTCTGCTAGTTTCCTTTGAGACATTTGAAATGGTAAGTCCTGTTTTCAGAAGTTTAGGGAAGACAGTAGAAGGGACTGTAGGATTTGTCAGGTAGGGTTTGTGAAGAATGAATTGGTGAGCTGCTGGTGTTGAGTGTGGGAAGGTACACAAGATGGACCTATTTCTTGCATCTCTGAAACAGGTGGGTTTGAATAGGTTTCCTCTGCTAGAGAATCAAGTGTTGGTAAATAGATTAATTTCTGAAAAGCTGAGGGTAACTACACATTTGAATTTTTCTTTTAATTCCTTTTATTTGAAATAGATTTTTTCATCAGTATATTGTAATTATGCTTTCTCCTCCCCACAACTCCTCCCAGTCACATCCCATCTCTCCTCCTATCTGAATCCACACCATTTTATGTCTCCTGTTAGAAAACAGGCATCTAAGGAATAAAATAAAAGAAGATAAAACAAAAACAAGCAAATTGAAATAGGATAAAACAAAGGAACAGAGAAGAGCAAAATAAAAAGCACAAGAGACACATATAGACAAAGAGACACAGAAGACTGCAGCCATGGAATCTCATACACACACACACACACACACACACACACACACACACACACACACACACACACAATGGAAGCCATAATACCCAAAGGACCTCTAAAGTATAAATTATCCTTTCAAGTTCAGTGAAAAATTGTGCTGGTATTTTGATGGGGATTGTATTGAATCTGTAGATTGCTTTTGGTAGGATGGACATTTTTCCTATATAAATCCTACTGATCCAAGAGCATGGGAGATCTTTCCATCTTCTCATATCTTCTTCAGTTTTTTCCTTCAATGTCTTAAAGTTTCTATCATTCACGGTGGTGGTGGCACATGCATTTAATCCCAGCACTCGGGAGGCAGAGCCAGGTGGATCTCTGTGAGTTCAAGGCCAGCCTGATCTACAGAGCGAGATCCAGAACAGGCACCAAAAACTACACAGAAAAACCCTGTCTCGGAAAACCAAAAAAAAAAAAAAAAAAAAAGTTTCTGTCATTCAAGTCTTTCACTTGCTTGGTTAGAATCACTCCAAGATATTTTATATATTTCGAGTCTATCATGAAAGGTTTTGTTTCCTTGATTTCTTTCTCAGTCCATTTGTCTCTTGTGTCTAGGAAGGCTCAAAGTTTGTGAGCTAATTTTGTATCCAGCTATAGTTTGCTGAAAGTGTTTAGCTGATATAGGAGTTTCCTGGTGGAATTTTTAGGGTTACTTATGTATCATACCATTTGCAAATAAAGATACTTTGACTTCTTCCCTTCTGATTTGTAGCCCTTGATCTCCTTCACTTGCCTTATTGCTCTAGCTAAAACTTCAAGAACTATCTTAAGTAGGTATGGAGAAAGCATAACCTTGTCTTGTTCATAATTTTAGTGAAAATGCTTTGAGTTTCTCTCCATTTAAGTTGATGTTATACTATGGGCTTGCTGTAAATTGTCATTATTATGTTGAGGTATGTCATTTGTACTCTAATCTTTCTAAGGCAGTGGTTCTCTACCACTGAGTATTGGCCTCTCTTGGGGCCAAATGACCCTTTCACAAGGGTTGCCTAAGACTATTAGAGAACACAGAGATTTATATTACAACTCATAACAGTAGCAAAATGAAAGCTATAAAATAGCAACAAAAATAGTTTTATGGTTGAGGGTCACCACAACATGAAGAACTGTATTAAAGGGTCACAGCATTAGAAAGGTTGAGGACCACTGCTCTAGGGGTGTTAGATTTTGTCAAAAGCCTTTAGAGATGATCATGTTTCAGAATGTTTATATGTGGATTGATTTTTTTTTAAATTTATATATGTTGAACCATCTCTGCAACTCAGGGATAAAGTCTACTTGATTATGGTAGATGATAATTTTGTGTGTTCTTTGGTTTGCAAATATTTCATTGAGAATTTTTGCATCTACATTCATAATGGAAATCAGTCTGTAATTCTCATTCTTTGTTGGGTCTTTATGTGGTTTGGGTATCAGTGTAACTCTGGCCTCATAAAAAGAATTGGGTAATGGTCTTCTCTTTTCTATTTTGTAGAATATTTTGAAGAGTATTTGTATTAATTCTTCTTTGTAGTTATGGTAGAATTCTGCACTGAAACCATCTGGCCCTGGAAAACACACACACACACACACACACACACACACACACACACACACACACACACACACACCACGGAGGCTTAATGACTGCTTCTATTGTACTAGGAGTTATACATCTATTTAAACTGCTTATCTGATTTTTATTTAACTTTGGTAGTTGCTATATATTGGGAAATAGTTTTTAAAGTATCTCCTTATGGTTCTCTGATTTCCTCCACATCTGTTGCTATGTTCCCCCTTTCATCTCTAAATTTGTTAATTTGCATCTTCTCTCTCCGCCTTTGTGTTGTCTTTGTATCTTCAGCACGGTGGCTACACCTAATCTTATGGAACCTCAGCTGCTGACTTCACCTCCAGAGCTGCCACCTGGTCACCTCCAAGTAGGGAGACAAATGCGGCTTTGAACAAAGTCTCTATCCTTTTATCAATAAAGATTCGGGAGCCAGATGCTGGGGTGAAAACCTGCTAGCTCAGAGAGGCAGAGAAAGCAGAAAGATGACCTTCCTCCTGTCCCAAAAAAGAGAGCTTCTTTCCCACTGTCCCAAACTAAAAAAGACCACCAAACTCAAAGTACCCTCCTACTATTCCCTGTGCATCTATCTGTCTTCCTGATGCCTCTTACTCTCTATAGCTACTTCCTATTAACTAGCTGCTTGCTCTGCCTCTTGACCTAAATTGTTGATTTTATTTAATCCTGTTTATAATAAACAGAAAGCTCTTAGATTAAGACTGTATACCAGGGCTGGGCCACACCACATCCAGAGGCAGATTTTTCCAGTAAATAATGCAATCTCTGGGTTCACAGTGTGACAAATATCCTGCAACATTTCTCCCTTTTTGTCTAAATAAATAGGAAAGGTTTTAACTCTAACACAGTAAAACTATTTACAACAATGAAGCTATTTCTGCCAAGCTTTCTACAATGTCCAGCTTTGTTGCATTTGGCAGTTTTAGGATTAAATATTTCTGAGTTCAAAGTTCTGTAAAATGACCATGTTGGTCTCATATGAACTTGGAGGTCTGAATGTCCTGAGCAGTTTATAGTCTGAAGCTGATCTTTGGGTGGTGTTTGTCAACTTTAGTGGCAGTACCACAATACAAGTGGATTCCCCATTGCAGGGTCCCATCATCGTCTTGGACACCTCATAGGTCACTGCTAGAAATGGTCATGGTTCACTGCAGAAAAGTTAAATATTTCAAATGCCATATTCAGTAGATCTCTGAAAGGTTAGAGGGACATAATCTATTAAGTACATTCGGGCTACACAAACTTAGTTCCTAGTTACCTTCAGACTCAAGCCCTAGAACATGTACAGGAAGCTAGGTAAAGTTTATTTCTATAATTAGTTAGTACTCTGTATGACCACCAACATCATGACAGAAAGTTTATATATATGTAATAATCTTATAGATTTTGAGATAATAGTTATACCTTAAGAAGTTTGAAAGAGTCAAATGAAAACCAGAGATTAGTGGCAATAGAATAGTCCTTTTTTTTCTTCCTTCCCAAACCATATAGCTCTTCTGATGTGAGACAGAGATTTTGGATTTTCCTTTAACAAGCATATGTGGTTTTAGAGAAGGAGAGAGCCATGTTCCAACCCCAAAGCCAGCAATTAATTTTTAATTGAATTGGGATCACAGAAAGGCCATTTCTCATTTATGTCTGTAGAGGGCAGCAGAGACAAGTGAAAGTCTACCCTGTTGGAGGTGGGCAATACCCTTTGGCCAATTACTTTTTTTCTTGGGAAATTTTCTTTTGATGAACAATCCTTTTTTTTTTTTTCTCCTTCAGATCTTTCACTTGTTTTCCTTAGTTAAATGCTTTTATTCTCCTGGAAAGATAAAAGCAAAACCCTGCCCCGACCCTAACTTGGTTGTGGGGGTTGAGGGGGAAATCCTTTCTTTGGCAGGTTATATCTTTCGTAGGGCAAAATGTTTTTGGGTGACAGAAAAAGTATTATTCTTCAATTAAAATTTTTTTTGAAATTTTGAAACTAAATATTCCTTAGTATGTATGGATAATATACTTATATTCCCCTTTCTCTTTATATATAAATTCAAAGTTAAAGTGTTTGTTTTTGGATCACAAAGGACATTCACTATGAATTTCCGCCTGCCTTTTGCAAGTGGCTATAATTTAAATCACTTTATATTTAATTCTTATGAGCCTGCCTCTGCCTCCCAAGTGTTAGGATTAAAGACCCGTGCCTCTCTAGTGCTGGGATTAAAAGTGTGAGCCACTGCCTGGCTATAGATTCCTTATAAAGTTATTCTCCTAGCATTGTCCTGGTTTAATTTGGTTCTCCATTTCCCCTTACTTTTTAATGTTAGGGATAAACTTTTAAGTTTTTCAGTGTGTAATCTATCATTCTTTCTGATTTATTTTGAATTTGTTCCCCAGCAAATTTTAATATTCTAGTCTTAATTAAATATGATGCCAATTTGTACCCACTGTTTTATTGATTTCAGATTTTCATCTGTCTTGCCTGTATGAGCTATATAAAATTTTATGTTTTTGCTGAGTTTTACCAGGTTTTTCAATTTCTTTCCATTCATGCCTCCCATGACCAGATACCTTTGCCATTTGTCTGCCAGTTAGTGGTTTTCTGTTTAGATGACTATATAGCTAGCTATACCATTGCACATGCACTGTGAATTGGAGAAGATAGAGATTCTCTTTTTGCCCAAGAGAAAAATTAGATGGAAGCAACTGGTTTTCAGAGTCTGTGGTCCTGTAAGCCTTGCATGAATGGGGTTCCTTCATCAGAGAATTATTCATCTGTTGGGTTGACACCTGAATTATTAATTGCCATCTGCTGTATATTCTTGTGGCCTCTAGTAAAGACATTGCTATCAGCAGCTTTCAGCAATCAAACATTTTTTCCTAAGATATCTACATCTGAATTAGCCAGTAAAATATTATCCATAAAATGGTAATTTGTAGATTGAGTAAATTGTTTACAAACTATGTCTAATGACTGTTGTACAAAATATTGGCACAAGGTTTGGCTGTTTAGCATTCCTTATGGAAGAATTTTCCACTGATATCTTTTAGTAGGTTGAGCATTATTATAAGTAAACACTATGAAGCCAAATTTTTCTTTATTCTGTTCTTGTAAGGGTATAGTAAAAAAAATAATAATAATAAAGGCAGTCTTTTAAATCAATCACTATAATACATTATTCCTTAGGTAATATAGAAGACAAGGGAATTCTAGGCTGTAATGAACCCATTGCCTGAATCACCTTATTTACAGCTCTCAAATCTGTTACTGGTCTCCATTTTACAGATTTATTTTTAATGACAAATATAAGATAATTCCAAGACCTGGTCAGTTATTCAATATGTTGAGCATTTAGCTTCCCTGTAACAGCTGTACTAGTGCCTGTAATTTTTCTGATTTCAATGGTCATTGTTCTACCCACCCAGGTCTGTCACTTAACCATTTTAAAGGTAGGGAGGTTGGTACCTTTGAAAGACCATCAACTATGGTACCCTGCTTATGTACAACCTGAATGGTCTTAATAATACTTTTTAATAATTTTATCTGAAGCATTCTTTATTTTTTGGATTGTTTCTGAGATTGGAGGAATGTTGATCTGTGTTTTCTATTGCTGCAACAAATCACATCCCCATAAATTCTTGGCTATGTTAGACACATGTAGCTTTAATTTTTCTATCTGTCCTTCTGGCCCTATACACTTAACCCATCTTATACTTTGCTTCATCTGAGATAAAGTTCCAATCCCTAGAAGCTGAATATTTACCTCCTAAAGAAACAAGTTTGGATGCCAAGATTTTGGTGAAATTATTGTCACATCTGCCCTTGTGTCTAATAATTCTTCAATTTCAATTCCATTTATTTGTATTTTTAGCTTTGGTCTTTGATCATGTATAGCAGGTTTCCAAAATACTTGTTTTATAGTTTTTCTGGTTTTTTTTGTTTTATCTACTGAAGCGGTTCTGTCCTTGATTACATGCAGAGTACTGTTGTTTTTAACAACAGGCATTATGTCTTTTCATTGTCTGTGGATGAGTTTCTCTGGTGCTGACAGGGAATAATTGATAGAGGGGCCTGTAGGAGACCCCCTAGAGTACTTCCCAATGGCAAAGGGTTACCTTGTCTGTCCCTTGTTGATTTCTATTCATTAGCTCAATGCTGGCCTTTGCTGCACCTTCTGCATACTCCAGAAGACTGGAGCTTTCTGTTTGTTTTATCTGTAGAAAAACCAATGTTGTTCCTAGGAACACCTTGTCTATAATCCCTTTTCAAATCACCTTGATTTCCACAATTAAAACATCAGACATTTTTATTTCTCTTAAAACTTTTATAAATTATTTATCCTTATCATAGTAGCATCATAAGCCTGAGATCTAATATCAGCCATATCCATCATTTATTGGTGTTGATCTTGCCTTTAAAGGCATAATCACCCTTTTGCATTCTGAATTAGAAAATTTGTCAATTTTTGTAAAAAAAAAAAGTAAGTTTCTTTCCTTATATAATTTTAGTAAATGATTCAGACCTCTTCCCTAACTCTTAAATCATATCCCAAGCATTTGAAGTTGCTAAATGACATAGTGCTAAGGTATGGTCATTAAATTCAAGCTGCCTTTGCAATTCAGGAGATTGGTCTTCACCTAGAACTGATCTTGGGAAATATTAATGCCCCTAGCCCTATTTCATTGTTCTAACTTTCTCTTTCCACCATTTTTGCCATTGTAACTAAGGACCAGCTTCCAGTATTGCTGTAGCTAAATCTTTCCTGTCTTGGGGGGTAATTCTGTTCTGAGTTTACCAGGAATTTAACATCTGCTTCACATGGGCTGAATGCATGCCATATAGCAACTGCTTTCTAAAATATCCCCAAATCTAATATATCCGTCAGATGCCATTTTACTTCCTGATAACCTTGTGGGTGTCTATCATCTCCTAGTAGTTCCTGTATAGTAGTAACCGGATAAACTGAGTTTGGTTTTCTAATAACCTTGGGTTACTGCCCTTTTTCAGTTTCATCATGCAGTGATGCTGTAGGTTCTTGTCTCAATTCCCCTGTCTGTGTCTGAGTATTTTTCTTATTTTCATTTATACATCTTTCTAAGGCTTGTATCTTATCAATCTACTTTTCATATTTGGCACAATAATCCACTATGGCTATTAAGGATCTACCTGTTTTGAGTTCCTGTCCTGACTTCCTTCAGTGATGAACAGCAATACTGAAGTACAAACTGAATAAACCCTTTCTTCCTCAGCTTGCTCTTTGGTCATGGTGTTTTGTTTTAGCAATAGAAACCCTAACTAAGACAATTGGTGATGCTTGCCTCTGAGGTTCCTGTTAAAGTTCCTAAATTTTTGATTTCCAGATTTCCCTCAGTTTGTGTTTTCTCATTGGTTATATTTCCACTACAATGTTTTGAACTGTTTCTTTTGTTTCATTCCAATGCTTTGTGTGTGTGGTTTCATAGATTTCATTAATATATTTAGTCATATCCTCTTTAAGGACTTCTAACATATTCACAAAGGCTATTTTGAAGTCTCTTTCTTGTGCTTTAGCTCTATTGCACATTTTAGTAGAATTTCTGGCCTCTAGTGGAGACATAGTGCCCTGGCTGTTATTGGTTATAACTTTTATACGGCTATCTAGGCATCTGAGAAGACTGTAATTCTTGATGTTAATATCTGCCCTTGTCTTTGGTGAGTGTTTTGTCCCTTAGTTTCCGTGCTCTCTCTGGTTCTTGGGGGAGTGTGGTGGCTGTGCGTTGCCTGGAAAGGAGTGTTTCCAAGATCCTGCCTGGTGTGGACACTGGGGTCCTGGGTAGAATGTCTTTCTAGGTTTTGGGAGATGACAAAACGGTAATGAGCTAGAAAGGGAAGTGAGGAGGTCTACAGGAGAGAGGAAAGAAGCATGTGCCACCAGGATCTTTGTAGTCCTCCGAGAATGAAGGTAGAGAAGGAGAGGCTAGAGCAGTCGGACTGCTACAGAGATGGGCATGAGCAGATTAGATTTGGAGCAGAGGAGGGAGAGTGAAAATTGTCTCCCTGACTCACTGGTCTTTGTGACTGGCAGCATTCTAGAGAATGCATCCAGATATTGTGGCTGAGACAAAGGGATGGGGTAGTGAGGAAGGCTGCAAGATCCACTAAAGATGGGAGCAGAGAGGAAATAAATGCCATGACAGGTGATGTGCTACAGAGCTGGGGGTGGGACTAGGGGATTGGATTTGGAGGAGAGGAAGGGGAGTGAAGAGCATCAGCTGCTTCCCTGGCAGTGGGTTTCCATGGAATTCTGGAGGGTGATCAGCTCCTCCCACATGCTTTCAAGTATTAGCTGAGTCATACCTAAGGGACAGTCCTGCCTGTTGGGTCAGTCCATTGAGATCTATGAAAATGAGAAAATGACAACATCGTGGTCTGGAGAAAGAGGTACCAGGCCTTTGACATAAAATTTTAAAAAATGAATCTCTATTTCCAGGCAAGGGTCTTTTCTCCTTCCTCTTTGTCTAATGGTTACAAACTATGCCTTCTTGAGTCTAGCTCACTGACCTCATCTCTGAATATCTCCTCAGATATGGTGGCCTGTGTTGTGCCTTCTGAGTGTGTAAAGCAGTGTGGTGTTGACATTGGCTGCACCAACTATGCCTACCCTATGATGGTGCTGAAACTGATGCCCATGGGTAAGTAAGAGCCTGGATTCACTTAGCCTCAGATGCTCTGTCTGTAGATGAGCATAGAAAGGGTTGTGGTATAATCCTCAGCAACTATTAATTTAATTCCATTAGTTCACCTCTGTTCATGGACATTTCTTGGGTACCTTTTACATGTTACCAACTATATGTTGAGTGTAGACATTCCAGAGATACTCCAGGTTTCTTCTGTTAGGAGAATCTTGACTCTTTAGACTTAAGACTCTTTGAAGAAGATTAAGAATATTTTAATTTTCTTTTTGCTAGTAAAAAGCAATTTTTAGCCACAGGTCTATATTTCCAGAGAAATCAAGGTTAATTATGGACCACTGACACTCAGGCATTAGATCATAATCTATTCAATTTATAATCGCTTATTGAATGTATTCTTTCCCAGGCACTAGCTTGGGTGTCCAGAAACATGGGTGAAGTTTCAAAAATAAGTTCCCCTACCATTTAGAATCCACATTTCAGTTTCCTGGGATATAAAATAAGCTGCATATATGAAGTAAATAAAATATTAAGATGCTGGAGAGTGACTGTGGTGAATTGAAGCAGGTAGAGGTCAAGGTAGAGAACTCAGGTGTGACCAGTTGAAAACTTGGGTTAACACTTCCATGGCCCTTTCTCTATCCTGATACATGTGAACATTTTCAGAATGAAGGGAATATAGCCCACAGATCTGACACCACATTCCCCCATCCTCTGTTCTAGAAGATGTGGGGCCAGAGGGAACTAGAGCATCAGGTTCCTATAATGATTTCAAATTCTTGGCTTTTTCTCTCCAAAAACAGCAGAACTATTAACTATATTTTTCCACTAACTCTTTGTGTGGTCAAGAGATCACTGAAAAGAAAGATGGCATCACAGAGCTTATTCTGTTCTAACAGTAGGTTTCAGTAGATGACATCTGAGTTTGTGCTGGGGACTAAATTCCCCCATTGTGTGATACTGAGATCACCAGGAATTATGCAAGAAGTGCTACATGCATTTCTATTATATGCATATTTTGATATCTGTTCAAATAGTCAATGTTCCAGACAAATCCATTATCTTGAAGCAATGCCCTATTTTTAGCCTGGCATTCACAGAAAATGATATGCAGCCATTAACCAGAGCTTGTACCCTCTCTTGACCCCAGGACTTCGAGGCCTGATGCTGTCAGTCATGGTGGCCTCTCTTATGAGCTCCCTGACCTCTATCTTCAACAGTGCCAGTGCCCTGTTCACCATGGACCTCTACACCAAGATTCGGAAGAAGGCATCTGAGAGAGAGCTCCTGATTGCTGGACGGTGAGGAAACCTGGTCTCTGCCTAGAACCCCTCTCAGGAAGGGAAGATGGAGTGATGAACTAGAGGTTGCAGATCCTTGACCTTAGTAAAAATAATCATCATTCTACAGGGGAAGAAGGAACGCCGTGGACAATTTAATTCTACCTATCTCTTTACACATATAAAAATTGAGGCCATTTGAATGAGATGGTTGCTTTTTCACATTTTAAGTGCTTAAGGTGTTTTTGTTTGTTTGTTTTGACTTTTCCTCTCACGACCCCTTCCAATCCCTTCACAAATTACTACCTACTCTTAGTCTCTCATCCAAATGTATCACATGCAAGGAATAATGAATTAAGTTACTACCACAAATGAGATTATCAACTTGATATTCTTTAAGGATTTGATATTAGAAAGGGACCAACTTGGGGAAGGGACTAGTTCAAGAAGTTGCTTAGAGGGTTATGTCAACCAAACAAGCCTTAAGTAGTCTGGGAGTCCAGAAGACAAATTGAGTGGAAACAAACAACCAGGGACAATAGTTAAGAAAGACCCCATTTTACTCTTCATTACTGTCCAGTAGACCCAACACTGTCATAGCATTTTGTAAAATGAGTTAAAGATTAAAGTATGACATATGTACAGAGGACATGGAGAACATAATTATACAGTTCCATGATGTATCTCAAAAGGAGCACACATGTAGTTACTGTACACATTAGTATTAATTACTAATATTAATAAATAATATAATAATAATACTCAATAATAATTATGATCACCCTAAAGTCCCTCAGTTCCTGTCTTTCCAAAGTTAAACTAGAACTTCTAATGCTATTAATTGGGTCTTCCTGTTTTAGATTATCATAAATACAGAAAATTGGCACACATTGTAACACAAATTCTAAAAGATCTTTTAATAAAAAAAAACCCTGAGCCAGATATTGGGGTATATGCTAAAAGATCAGAGAGACAAAAGAACAAGTCACAGTCACCACCTCTTAACTCACCAACTCATCATCCTGAAAAGGCTTTCTAGCCAAAAGGCCTCTAGCTAAAAGGGATTCCTCAGCTGAAAAGCCTTTGGTTTCTGTCTCCTCATGCCTTATATACCTTTCTTCACCCAGCCATCATTTCCTGGGATTAAAGGTGTGTGTCCTTCCCAGTACTGGGATTAAAGGTGTGTGCCACCACTGCCTGGCTCTGTTTTCTCTCTTAAACTGAGTCATTCTCATGTAGTCCATGGTGCCCTTGAACTCACAGAGATCCAGACATATCTCTGCCTCCCAAGTGCTAGGATTAAAGGTGTGTGCCACCACTGCCTGACCTCTATGTTTAATCTAGTGGTTTGTTCTGTTCTCTGATATTCAGGCAAATTTTATTAGAGTACACCACATTTTCCCTTTTCTGTCTAAAATAATAAAAGGTTATAACTAATATAAGAAAAATGATATACAAACGATATTGACAAATTCAGAGAAAATGCTCCATTATCTATCCTATTTTGGTGAATCCAAAGTGCTGTACCTAATTTACTTTCTATCCTAATTTGTATTACCAACTGAATATTATCTTTTGATGTCTTTCAAACTTATACACTTTATACCTCTAGGGAGTTTCCTTTCTGAATTTGTTAACAAGGAAAAATATAACTAAAGCTATCTAGTATACATTTCATGTTATATGGCTTCTTTGGCTCATCTTATTATTGTGGCATTCAGCCAGGTTTCCATGTACAATTTGTTTCAGTTCCTTGCTGTATGGTACTCCATTATCTTAATGCCTCAGCATTATCTGCTCTATTGTTCATGCCATGTTGCTTTGGTTAAACTCCCTCAGTGATTATGACTTATTATGACTTAGATAAAAATAGATTGGTAAAATAGGTGGTAAGATAGCAGATCGATCATTTTCCTTTTATACTTACCAATATTGAATAATATATTTAGAGTATGTCTTTCAATATGAAAACAAGTTAACATTCACCTGTGAAGTACCACTTTAAGTTCATTTCTGGACTTCTCAGCTATTTAGAAGAGAAACTGGAGTCCTAGTCTTTTCCCTTATGTGGATTCTGCCTGTTCCCCATGGTTTTCTCATTGTTGTTTGGGGCTAGAAGCACAGAGTACTGAGAAGTACAGTGTCTATAAAGACCAGTCTTGGAAGGGCACTGCCTACTTTCTTGTCAAATTGGTATCAACAGAAACTCACCACCCATTTATATATTCTTCTTTGCTTTTGACAGTAACAATAGCTTTACTAAATTAAACACTTGGAGATGAAAATCTAAAGGACCTCACTAGGCCCAGATCTTGACTAGATAAAGGCTGTAGGAGCAGAGAATGGAGTGGCATAATTTTGTTTGTTTGTTTGTTTGTTTGTTTGTTTGTTTTTCTGAGCTGGTAGTCAAGATACATTGATCCCACTAGTCAATACATCATCTTGGACACAAATCCTCTTTAAGTCTCAATGACAAAGTAATATCTTTCTTTTTTTTTCTTTTTTACTATTAAGAAGTTTTCTATTTATTTTACATACCAACCACAGATCTCCCCTTCTCCCTCTTCCCACCCCGACCTCCCCCCCGCCCAAACCACCCTCCATTCCCACCTCCTCCAAGTCAAAGTCTCCCAAGGGGAGTCAGCAAAGCCTGGTACATTCAGTTGAGGTAGGTCCAAGGCCCTCCCCCCTGCACCAAGGCTGTGCAAAGTGTCACACCTCAGGCACTGGGCTCCAAAAAGCCTGCTCATGCACCAGGGATGGAACCTGATCCCTCTGCCTGGAGGCCCCTCAAACAGTTCAAGCTAAACAACTGCCTTGTGTATCCAGAAGACCTAGTCCAGTCCCATGGGGGCTCCACAGCTATTGGTCCACAGTTCATGAGTTTCCACTAGTTTGCCTGGCCATCTCTGTATGTTTTCCCATCATGACCTCAATGTCCCTTGCTTATAGAATTCCTCCTCTCTCTCATTGATTGGACTCCTGGAGCTCGGCCTAGCTCCTGGCGGTGGGTCTCTGCATCTACTTCCATCAGTAACTGGATGTAGGCTCTATGATGACAGTTAGGGTACTCACTAATCTGGTTACTGGAGTAGACCAGTTCAGGCATCCTCTCAACTATTGCTAGTAGTCTAAGGTGGAGTCATCCTTGTGGATTCCTGGGAACCTTCCTAGCACCCTGTTTCTCCCTATTTCTATGATGTCTTCATTTATCATGGTATCTCTTTCCTTGCTCTCCCACTCTGTCCCTGTTCCAGCTCAAACCTCCCATTTTCTTATGTTCTCATCCCCCATTCCATGACCCCCCTCACTCCCAGTTTGCTCATGTAGATTTCATCTATTTCTCCTTCACTGGGCTATCTATATGTCCCTCTTGGGGTCCTCCTTGTTAGCTAGCTTCTCTGGAGCTATGAGTTGTAGTCTGGTTATCCTTTGCTTTACATCTAGTATCCACTTATGAGCGAGTACATACCATGTTTGTTCTTCTGAGTCTGGGTTACCTCACTCAGGACGATAATCTCTAGTTACACCCATTTGACTGCAAATTTCATGATGTCATTGTTTTTTACTGCTGAGTAGTACTCCATTGTGTATATGTGCCACATTTTCTTTATCCATTCTTTGGTTGAGGGGCATCTAGGTTGTTTCCAGGTTCTGACTATTACAAATAATACTGCTATGAACATAGTTGAGCGTGTGTCCTTGTGGTATGATTTTATCTTTCTTATCAAATGTCTATCTCTCAAAATAAAAATGTGAAAAAAACCAGATGTTACAAAAATATTTGCTTCACGTAAGCAAGCGATGCCTCTGTAGAGAAGGTAGATAAACACAGCTACAGCAGGTTGAAATTGTAATCAGAATAAATTTTATGAAAAAAATCTATTTTCAATAAAAACAGAAAAATAGGGGTAAAGGGGGATAAAAGCAACTCAGAATAAAAGATGACAGTGACCTAACCCAAAAAGCCAGGAAACCTTCCTGTGGAGGTTGCACTTGAGCAAAGTCTTGAGGTGGGGGCAGGGAAGTGCACAGCTCTGTGGGACAAGAACAGTGAGAACATCTTGTAAGTCATGTGTGAGGTAGCTCTGTAACAAGGAATAAGGCTGACCCCAGGGAGCAAGCAAGAAAACGAAAAGAACACATCCTAACAAGGTATCCAGAAGCCAGATCATGCTGGGCCACTTGAGTGTGTGTCGGAGAGCAATCCAAGTGGGCTGGGAAGCATCTGGTTTTCTTTCCAATGGGCACAACGACAACAGTAATGGTGTACTTTATTGAATCTTTACTGTGTTCTGGGGTTCATGATTGTCACACTTAAGTTTTGTTGCAAGGTGGCAGAGACTTCATAAAGTTTAAGTGGACATTGGTGTCTTGGTCTTCTGCCCAAAAACTTGTTAATCCATTCACCCACCACCATGTCCATATTTTAGATGAATACAGAGATGATGAGCTTTCATGTAGAAGAATCTTGTTAATTATATTTGCTCATTTATTCATGTGCAAAGCATAGACGTCCCTGTGTGTAGAAAACCAGATATCTCATCTTTGTGGATCCCAGGAACTTCCAGTCAACATTTTAACCAACACTTTCTGACAGGAGAACACATGAACTAGTATTTCTTTTCAATTCATCTACCATCCTGGGAAAGATAGAGGCTGTTTTAATCCTTACTAATGAAAACTCATTTAGTTTTCTCTAGCTAAGAAAAAGATAAAAATTGGATTCTACTTTATTATACAAGTAACTACCAATTAATAAAACTAATACAGTATTACTTTTAAGATATATACATTGAATTAAAGAATGATTAAACAACATCTGACATTAGACTTATTAGGAAGCATTAATCTTAGGTGAAGCCTTTATGACAGGTGTAGATAGTATTGTTGACATTGAATTAACAGATAATTAGCACAGCATGGGTTCATATCAGGTCAAGAAACTCAGTTGTGTTTTGAAAATGAATGAATGAATGGCACAAGGATATACTTTTAAAAATCAACAAATATGGTGCTCTTGTTTAATGTCTGGATTATTTTTATAGGCTGTTTGTCACTGTACTAATTGTCACCAGCATCTTGTGGGTGCCGATAGTAGAAGTATCTCAAGGTGGACAACTGATCCACTACACAGAGTCCATCTCCAGCTACCTTGGGCCTCCAATTGCGGCTGTCTTCCTGCTTGGCATCGTCTGTAAAAGGGTCAATGAACAAGTAAGTGAAGAATGGGATTTTCCCTGTGAGTGTAAGAAAAACTTGTTTCTCTCCCTGGTGTCACAAGATGCATTCTTGCTCTTCCATGTGCACACCCAAGGCCTGTTTCAATTTCTACTGTGGTCACCGCAATGTCTGGTTGTTCCTAAAGTGTGATTCGACACTTGTTCTGCCCATTCATAGTACAGTCTTTACATGGTTTATAAAACATCATGTTGCACGGTACAGTGCTGGGGAGCACGAGTTGAGGAGATGAACTGTCAGTGTCCCATCAGGACACTAATATACTATATGAAGCAAATAACTCCACTCTGTCCAATGAAGATGATAATAGCTACTACTTTATAGGAGTTGCTATGAGGATCAAATGAGATAGCATAGTAAATATTTTTTAAAAGCTAATAAAAAATTAAAATATGTGCATTGCTATTGTGGTGGGAATAGTTGATCTTTTTACTTTATATGTCCAATCCTTTATGTGTCTCTAGCTGTTTACTATATTATGTGATTTTTCAGGCAAGTGTCACATTCATAGCACTTAGTGTCTAGTGATTTCTTAGCTTTTCAAATTGTGTAGCATGAATATCATAATTCTACTTGTTCTCCAAAATAAAGCACAAGCTTTTATTCTATATATATAAGACAAATCAGGACATTTTTCATTTTGGGTCAGTGTTGACAGTAGAGTCCTATGGTTGGACAGTTGACAGTGTGATGGTATTTCAAGACCACAAAGGACAACTTCTGCTGATAGCTTGTATTTTCAGTTATCCCAGTTTGTTGGTCCTTACCTAATAAAATTGTAGTAATTAATTATGACTTACCTGAATGAGTGTCTCATTTTTCCTAAGCACTCATGATTGTGTTCTTGTTTTGTTTTTAACAGGGTGCATTCTGGGGTCTGATGGTTGGACTCGTGATGGGCCTTATCCGTATGATTGCAGAGTTTTCTTATGGGACAGGGAGTTGCCTGGTCACCACTAACTGTCCCAAGATCATCTGTGGAGTGCACTATCTATATTACGCCATCATTCTCTTTTCTGTGTCTGTGTTGGTTACTCTGGGAGTTTCTTTCTTAACAAAACCCATTCCTGATGTACATGTGAGTGTTGCACAAACTAGTAGTCTTTTACTTTCATAATTTGCATAATGGCAGCTTCAGTTAATGCCAGGCTAATGGGATTGTTGATTTAGGAGGAACCTGAAAGCTAACCAATCAGTTATTCAACTGAACAATTTGATAGAGTATGTGTGAAGCAATAGTAGATTGCTAAGAGGCTAGGAAATGGATGTACTGTTTTTAGTGCCAGTGTGATGTCTCCACGGTTAAAAGGGCTTTCTGAGCAAGCCCAGGAACAACCTGAGTTGTCCCTGGAACCCACAAAAAAGGCTGAAGGAGGGCACTGACTCCACAAAATCATCCTCTAACTGCCATGCATGTCTATGAGTATACTCACAAACCATCACACACAAATAATAAAAAACAGTGAGCATACTATTTCAAACACTCCATGATGCAGGTGGAGAGCATATCTGTGCCATTGTGATACACACTTGGAAGGGAATAATCACTATTGTTTAACAGATGGAGAATGATCTTACAAGAGACCTGGCTATCTGGACTGGGGCTCTCTAGTGTGTAGTTGCTTTTTTTTATTCTTTGCTCTTTGGGGGCCTGACACTCAGCCCCCAAATAAATACATGGAGGGTTATTCTTATGAATATGCAGCCTTAGCTTGGCTTTTTTCTTGCTAGCTTTTCTTAACTTAAATTATCCCATCTACCCTTTCCTCTGGGCTTTTACCTTTCTCTATTCTTATACGCCTTCCTTTCCTTCTTACTCATGACTAGCTCTGTTGCTGCTTGGCCCATGGCATCCTCCTCTCCTTCTCCTTTTCTTGCTCCTATCTTCTCTAGATTTCTCCTATTATTTATTCTTTCTGCCCACCAGCCCCACCTATTTCTTTTTTTGCCTAGCTATTAGCTATTCAGCTCTTTAGTAGACCAATCACATGTTTATGCAGGCAAAGTAACATACCTCTACAGAGTTAAGCAAATGCAACATAAAAGAATGCAATACATCTTTACATCTTTAAACAAATATTCCATAGCATGAATGAATGTAATACATCTTAAATTAATATTCCACAACAATTCACCCTTTTGTCTAAATAAAAATGAAAGCTTTAACTTTAACATAGTAAAACTATACACAACAAAGAGAGTTATCAAATAAGAATTACATTTAGAATATCCAGTACATTAGTATTTAGCAAGTTCAGAGGAAATACTCCATTGTCTATCTTATCTTAGTGATTTCAAAGTTTTATACCTAATTTACTTTCTATCATAAATAAGAAAAACTATAGCTCCTAACTATCTAGTTTTTAACTCCATCAAAGATTCCAGAAGGATGTAATATTACCTAATAACAGAGATATCTGGCTGCCTGAACAGTCACCCAAAGTTCCTCTGCAATGTTGGGATATCCATCTTCAGCCTACAGGCCTAAAATATCTGGCAGACTTTTCAGTGAAGCAGGAAATCTGAAGGGCTGTCTTGCCTTGTATATCAAAGTTCTTCAGATGCTTCCTCCATGTCCTGCAGAATATCTGGCAGATTCCTCTGTGAAGCAGGAATCTTGAAGGACTGTCTGCCTTGTTTTGACAAAGTTCAACAGTCTTTTCCTATGTCCTTCTTACACTGAAAGCAAACTCCATATGGAGTTTCTTTGATGCCCATCATCCTTCTAATAAGTAAATTGGTTCTGCCAGGAGCAGATGTGTCTCATTGTCATCAAAAAGATTAGGTTAAATATCTTAAATGCCGTGTTCTGTGTGTCTTTGAAGTGTTTGAAAATCATCTATCTATCTAAAATAGAGATAACCTGTTTAACCTTAAAAACATACCTAATGTGACTACAAGTTTGATTATTATAAGTTAACTACTAACCTCATTTTTAATTATACATTGCATTTTTAATGAGCTGAATAAGCACAATATCCCAAATATGAATAGGAACATATATACTATATAACAAAAATAACTTTAAATTTATATCAATATACCAAAATCGATGCCAATGCAAAATATGAGATTAATAGTTTTTAATCTTTATCTTCTTGAATATATGAAAACAATTACATGATAACACATGTTCTATATATTTTCACATTTTGTGTTTTAATACACAAAGCAAGAGAACCTTGACCATATAATGGACAAACAATAGTCAAAATTCCATAAAACTTAGAAGCTTAAAATAACAACCGTGGCAGGGCAGTGGTGGTGCACACCTTTAATCCCAGCACTGGGGAGGCAGAGGCAAGTGGATCTCTGTGAGGCCAGCTTGGTCTACAGAGTAAGTTCCAGGACAGGATCCAAAGCTACACAGAGAAACCCTGTCTCAAAAAAACCCAAAAAACAAAAACACAAGCAAACAAAACAAAACAGTGGACAAAGTTCAGAGGTAGCATGGAAGAGGGATGTGTGATTACATTTGGAATTCAAGAATTGAACACAGATAGCTGTCTAAATATAATGGATGCAGAAATAGAACTTACGACATGTCAAGTGACAATGACAACCCCTAGTCATCACAGAATAGAAAGGGGAACAGGAGGGAGGAAGGTTGGATAATAACTCCTGGCATAATGCAGAAGAGAGAAGTGATGATACTTCACAGAAATTTGTTCTGTAGCTTATAAGCAAAGAGGGGAAAGGGGGTTGAAGTTTTCAACATACTCACAGAAGGAATGTTGAAGGAAATGGAAATATTAATTTCCTTGATTTGATAATTACATATTGCATATATGTGTCAAATTAATGCTCTCTGCCACATAAATATGTATAATTATTATGTGTTGTGTAAAACCTTCAAGATAGAAGTGATGGTACACCAGCACCTGGGAGGTGGGGCAGGAAGATCAGAAGTTCAAGGACATGCTCAGCTACATAGCAAGTACAAGGTCTTTTGGAGCCCACAGAGGTTTCCTATTGAGATCTGGCCTTGCTTTACCCAGCAGGGCTGCATAGGGGATGCATGTTTACCAGGTATTTGGGATGGTCTGCACTTGGCTGTGCTAGAAGGAGGCTTTTTGCTCCACTCCTTGGCATTTCTATAAATAGCCCTTTAGAAGAGATAGAAGGGGCTGGCCGGTTTTGACCCAGGCCCTCCCAAGGCTATCCTATGTTTCTATCTGTCCCTCTCCCCTCTATATTTCTATATAAATATTTCCCACTTCTCCCTACTCAAGAGTACCCTAGGGGAAAAAGTGGGAACAGGTCTCCCACAAAGGTCAACCTGGGCTACATGAGAACCTGTGTAACAAAACAAATAAACAAACAACAACAACAAATAAATTAAATTCAAAAAGCAATCTCTAGCCAGGCTGAAAATAACAATGAAGTTACTATTAACAATTAGACAACAAGGACAATGAAATAACAATGATGTCACTATTGGCAGTTAAACAATAAGGACAATGAAGTTATTATTGAAAAACAGAAGGACGATGAAATAGCAATGAAGTTATTCTTCACAGTTAAACAATAAGGGCAATGGAATAACAATGGAGTTACTATTGACAGACAATAAGGACAATGAAATAACAATGAAGTTACTACTAACAGTAGACAATAAGGACAATGAGTGAAGCCAAGATGTAATAGTCTAGGTTAATTTTCTACTTTTCTGAAAGTATAAAGCCCAAAGTAAGAGTTTTAGAAATTTTGCATTTTTAAATGTTTCCTTCCCAAATAATTAAAAACAGAAATGACTTTAAATGGTTCATGTGTTTTGGAGAGTGTGATATGGCAGGAGCACCTTTCATTACAATTCATCATACTCTTTCATGCAGTCTGACTTTTTTAATTGTACAAGACTGAGACTATTGTTCAGTGTTTGCAAACATGGGCCTTTTGCTAATTAATGCTCTCTGTGATCATTTCTCAGCTGTATCGCCTGTGCTGGACTCTTCGGAACAGTGAGGAGGAGAGAATCGATTTAGATGCAGAAGATAAAAGGGAGGAAGGAGCTGATAATGAGACTGAAGAGGGTAATGTCTCACTTATGCATTGGTTTTCATGGTGTGGCTTACTAGGGATTTTTATTTTTAATCAAAATATAGTTACATCATTTCCCTCGTACCTTTGCTCATTCTTGCCCCTCCAAACCCCTCTCCCTCTAATTTCTCCCATGAGTTAGATCTTCTTTTTCTTTAACAAATATTATTACATACATTCATATGTGTAGTCACAAATACATAAATACAGCCTGCTGAGTCTGTGTCTGTTGTGTGTATATGGTTTCAGGACTGACAGCTTTGTGCTGCATAACCAGTTACAGGGCTAAGCCCCAGGAGAGGTTAATTCTCCCATTCTTGGCAGTCATTAGTTGTCTGTAGTTCTTTGCCTAGGAGTGGAACCATGGTGAGACATCCCTCCCCTTCTATGTTAGCAAGTCTATTAATATTGTCATTATTCTTGCCTTGTTTATACATCCTGTGCTGGCTAGTTTTTTTTGTCAACTTGATACAAGTTGGAGTTATCTGAAAGAAGGGAACCTCAATTGAGAAAATGCTTCCATAAGATTCAGCTCTAAGGCATTTTCTTAATTAGTGATCAGTTATGGAAGGCCCAGCACACAGTAAGTGGTGCCATTCCTGGGCTGGTGGTCCTGGGTTCTCTAAGAAAGCAAGCTGAGCAAGCCATATGGAGCAAGCCAGCAAGCAGCACCCCTCTGTGGCCTCTGTATCAGCTCCTGCCTCCAGGGCCCTTCCCTGCTTGAGTTCCTGTCCTGACTTGCTTCAATCATGGACTGTTACCTAGAAGTATAACGAAATGTAAACCTTTTCCTCCCCAACTTGCTTTTTGGTCATAGTGTTTCATCACAACCATAGAAACTCTCACTAAGACACAGCTATTTCTTTTGAAAGAATGTTTCACAACAGGTTTTCTGGTGTTCTGGCTCTTACAATCTTTGTGACTCCTCTTCCAAGATGTTCCCTGAGTCATAGATGCAGTAGCTGTGATGTAGATATATCCACTGGAACTTGGCTTTACCTCTGCATTGTGTCAGGTTTTGCTTTTTGGTCATGACTTCATGTACTGTGGAGAGAAGCTTCTTTGATGAGGGATGACACCTACACTTAAATGGGCTTCCGCAGTTATCCAATTCTCAAGAAGTTGTTGTTTTTATAACAAACTAAAATATTCAAATCTCACTGGCCCAATGATGAAGATAACTGTTAGATATGACATCTATGCATCCACTCACCTACATGTGCATCTTTCTGTCCATCCATGGTACTTACTACCTGCCAAATGCTGAGATGACATGCAGTTACTTGCTAACTTCTCTATCTTTGTATCTTGTGATTAAGTATCTATCTTCAACTTCATTTCTTAGTATTCTCTCTAGCACACCCATAGCAGAAGAGATGCCTCAGCTTTCTTTACATACACCAGCTCCTAGGATATTGTCACAAAGACTCCCTAGGATATTTTCATGAAGCACACTATTGGAATGTTTGCCAATTGTGACAATTGGTATTGTAATATAATTTTAATTTTTAAAGTGAGCTTAAGATAATTTTTTCTTCTCTTAAGTTGTTTATCAACTCTATAGTATGTTTAAATGTATCTCTAAATGGCCTTGTCTTTCTTTTTTTTTTAATTCCAAAAACCCATTGTATATTGAGGTAAAAAAGCCTCTATGGTATTGTTTGCAAATCCCTCCCCATGCTACCGCCATTTTGCCACTTAAATTTACTTTTAAGGTTAATTTTCAGCTTTTATATAGTCAAATTTATATTTTCTCATAATTCTATTGGCTCTTATAAAAACTGTGATCACTGTTTACAGACATCTCTACAGCATTTGCGAGATGTTCTACACATCTTTGGTGATGCTTTATTTTTCTTTCTTGTTCCAGACCAAACTGAAAAACCTCGTGGATGTCTCAAGAAGACTTATGACTTATTCTGTGGCTTGCAAAAAACAGGACCCAAGCTGACTAAAGAAGAGGAAGAAGTCTTGAAGAAGAAACTCACAAACACATCAGAGGAGCCCTTCTGGAGGACTGTTGTGAACATCAATGCCATTGTCCTCCTGACTGTGGCAGTTTTTTTCTATGGCTATTTTGCCTGAATTCTATCTCAGTCACAACAATATTGGCTAAGCAAAGGATCATTTTATACATTTTCATTTTAAAGATTGCTATCCTGCAAAGGGACATGAGCAATTTGGTAATTTTATCTATTAAGGCTACATCAGAGTTGAATTTTGTTGTCCCTCCATGTAAATAAAATAGTTCATAATTTACAAAACTACTGAAGTGCCTTAATGAAAGTATGTGAAGTAGGCCAAGAGCCCAAAATCCTTTTTTGTACTTTTATGGAGTATTCTCATCAACTGAAATGTTATAGATTTGAGATATATAATGTGATGATTTCACACATAAGTTGTGAAAATATTACCAGAACCAAGTCAACTGGCACATCCATATCCTAACATAGTTGCTCTTTTGTATTATACACAGAGAAAACACTGATCTGCTCTCTCAGCAAATTTGAAATACACGGTACATTATTATCCATAGGCACATGCTGTCCTTTATTAAATTGTTGCCGCCTTTTAAGTCACGGCTGTCCAAATGAGCACCTGCAACTCCACCAGCAATGGTTAGGCTGCAAGAGCTGTGGCCTGAGGGAGTTCTGTTCCCTCAGGCTCCAACTCTTCCAAAGCCATGAAGGGAACTTCACTCAATCTCTGTCCCTCTAAAAAACTCAAGATTCAAAGGTTGAGGTAGAATTTGCTCCCCAGAAAGGCTAAATAGCAAGTAGCTCAGCACCTCTCCTTCCTAGCATCTTCCCAAAAAGCTTTTGTGCGCCTCCTTGCCCTTCCTTAAAAACTCTTCTCCACCTGGCTCCTCCCTACCACTTCCTGTCAGCTAGTTGCTGGCCGAGCCTCCTGACCACAGGTGAATTTTATTTAACCAAACACATCTTTGCATCATTAAACGTTTCAAAGCATAAACAAAAGTACCACACCTTAAAGTAATATTCTACAACAGGCACAAAGCTGTGTATTATTAGACCTCGGTAACATCTTACAGCCAAACATTGTACTCTTTAACCATCGTCTCTCCATGTTATCTTATCCCTGAGCCCCTGGAAACACCACCGCTGTAGAGTGTGTTTGTGTTTGTGCTGCTGTAACAAAAACGAATATTAGAAATTATGAAGAGTGGGGATTTGTTGGTTTTCTGGTTTTGTTTTGTTGTTTGTTGTTTGTTTCGTAGTTCTCAAGATAAAGAAGGACAATATTAAGAGCCAGAATCTGGAGAGGACATTTTTTGCTACATCATTCCTTGGTACAAAGTGAATGGTCAAAAAAATCTGTGATGGAAAGGGAAAAGAACCAAATTTGTCTTTTTATCAGAAACCTACTCCTGTAATAATACTGATTTGTTCCTGAGAGAAGAGTCCTCATGAGCTGGTCACTCCCCCAGAGGTCCCTCCTCTCTGCACTGATGCTAGGTATTGGGTTTTCAACATATGAACTCTGGTGGATCTTTTAAACTATAGAATTCTCTCCAACCTCTTATATTCAAATTATATCCATTTCATTCTGGTGACACCAGAGGTATTAATTTGTTTGCAGAACAGTCCAGAAGTCAAAAAATTTATGTAAATCAGATATGAATGAGACTCAAGGCATCAATTTTAGAACACCCCCCTGCTGTCTTCCTGGGAAACCAAACATGCTACTTCCAGAGCACACTGGTGGGGTAGGAATGGAATAGACATTCTCATTCCAAAAGGGAGAGAAAGACAAGAAGAAAGGAGTCACTGGTCCCCAGTTGGCCTTAAGGCCAAGAGATAATTGCCTTTGATTTTATACTCTGCTTCTCAGGCACATGAGGGCAGAGGCTGGGCCCCCAGAGCCTCAGGCAATGTTGCCCCAATGATTCAACTACATCTGTCTTCTTTAGAAAAACAATCATCCATGTGGAATCTATGTGTAAAGATGGTTGTTGCAGTGTTTTTCATGCTGTCTTAAGATACTTCCCATTGTCTTCCCTTTGGAAACAAATCCCTTAGTCTAACCCTCATTAAGCAAAGGGATTATACTTGTCCATAAAGAAAAAGGAGAGCAGACTATTAGGACCTTTCTTAGAGAAGTGAGTCACAGCAGCAACACTCTAAATAGCCCACCAAGAAAACAGAACAGAACTAAACAGTTCTCAGCAACCGATTGAATAAACAGTGTGACATACCTGAAAGGTAATAAAACAAACCAGTATGGATGGATTACAAGCCTTATGTAAAAGAAAAAATATGCATCTATTTCTACTAGGTTATAGGTGGGTCAAAACTAACCTCTAATGACAGTGATTGAAGACTTGTCCTTGGGGACATTAACAAAAAGGCAGTATGAAGGTTTTCTGGAGTTGGAGACAGTTGGAGGGAGTGCTATAAATATTGATTGGGCTGCAGGCCATGGGAGAACATGCCTTTGTAAAAATTAATTGAACTGTAAGGTTAAGGTATGTTAATTCTACGGCTTTTATTGTTTCAATAAAATTCCACTGTTTATATTGTTTAAATAAAATGAAAAAGGAAAACACAAAATTGACATTGTGCCTACAAACAACAACAAAAACCTCAAATTTTTTCTATCAGGGTCCTGGTATAACAGCAACAGTAAAGACTGGTCTTTGAGAAGGTAAAAAAAATGTCCATCAGTAAGCCATCTGCAAGAAATACATAGTGAAGAAAGTAGGGAATTGTAGGTACATATATAAATTAATAGATAAAATAAGAATGACAACAATGTCTGCTGATGTTTAAATAATGTACTATGAGCTCTGGAGATGGCTCAGCAGTTTAAACTCTTTCTGTCTTGCAGATAATCTGAGTTTGGTACCTAGCACCCACCTAAGGTTGCTCATCCATGTGCAGGGAATATGACACACATGTGCATATACTCACACTCACACAGTTTTATACACATAAAAATAAACCTTTAAATCATGCATATATACATATGGTGATACTTGTGTGTGTGCATGAGAACATGTATGGAACATGCAAGCAAATCATTTTGAGCAAATAGTTACAGTTGAAGATGATAAAAGTACAAAAACTTTTGAATAGGTTCACTAGTTCCTTGAGCAGAAGAAAATGTGTAGGAGAGATATTGTGTAGCAAGTGAGAAAACAGGCATGATTCCACACGGCTGGCAGGAAATAAGCTGAAGAGGCAGGAAGGATGTCACACAGGCAGGAGGGATGTTGCACAGGTAGGAAGGATGTTGCACATGCATGAAGGATGTTGCACAGTTAGGAAGGATGTCACACAGGCAGGAAGGATGTTGCACAGGCAGGAAGGATGTTGCACAGGTAGGAAGGATGTTGCACAGGCATGAAAGATGTTGCACAGGTAAGAAGGATGTTGCACAGGTAGGAAGGATGTCACACAGGCATGAAGGGATGTTGCACAGATAGGAAGGATGTTTGTTGCACAGGCATGAAGAATGTTGCACAGTAGGAAGCATGTTGCTCTGTCAGGAAGAATGTTGCACAGGCAGAACTGGAGAAATGAACAAGAGTGTGACCTACAAATCTCCATGAGCCAAGCCAAGCCTAGGAGCAATGAAAGTTCTTTGAGAAGCTGAGGCAGAAAAAGACCCACCACACAACTGGATGTAATTTTCTTCTATGCATTCTATTGGGACTTTGTTTTTTATATACCATTGCTTCTGAAACTTTTTTCAAACATTATCACTTATCACAGAGGAAACTTTTATATAAACATAGATGAGAGCATACATTCATGTTTTTTTTTTTTTTTTTTTTTTGGTTTTTCGAGACAGGGTTTCTCTGTGTAGCTTTGCGCCTTTCCTGGAACTCGCTTTGGAGACCAGGCTGGCCTCGAACTCACAGAGATCTGCCTGGCTCTGCCTCCCGAGACATTCATGTTTTTAACAGTGATATTTTATGGACTTTTTTACTTTAATAGGATCATTAACTATTTCAATAACTATCACATAATGTGTGCATTATAATTTATTTAATAAGCATCATATTATCAGTTTTTCCAAGTTCTCTTTTATAAAGAACACTATGGCCATTGACTACACATTTATTTATTTTTTTAATTTATTTATTCTTCTATGGTGTGATACATCCCAACTACATTTTCCCTCCCTAAACTCTACCCAGCTTCCCTACTCCTCTCTCCCCCAGATCCATTCCTCCTTGATTCTCTTCAGAAAAGAGCAGACCTCCCAGGGATCTCAGCCAAAACTAGCATAACAAGATACAGTAAGACTAGGAACAAACCTCATATCAAGGCTGGTTTAGATAACCCAATAGGAGAAAAAGGGTCCCAAGAGCAGGCAGAAGAGTCACAGACACCCTTACTCCCACTGTTGGAGTGCAATAAAAACATCAAGTTAATAACCATAACATATATACAGAAGACCTAGTGCAGACCCATGCAAGCTCTGTGATTGTAGCTTCAGTCTCTGTGTGCCCCTATGACCCCTGCTTAGTGGATGTTTATGGACCATGTTCTTACAGTGTCCTCAATCCTTTTGGCTCCTACAATTCTTGCTCCCTCTCTTCCTCGGGGTTCCCTGAGCTCCCAGTTAAATTGCCTCATTTTTTTCTTTAGAATATTTTTTCAGACACTATAGTTTGATCATATTCCTTCCTTTCCTTAGTTCCTCCCATATCTTCCACATATCCCTACCTACCCAACTTCATGTGCTCTCTCTCTCTCTCTCTCTCTCTCTCTCTCTCTCTCCCTCTCTAAAGCAAATGAAAATCAAAAGCAACAAGCAAACACAAAATGAACAAGACAAAACAAAAAGCCCACACAAAATACTTATTTGAATTTGCTTTGTGTTGGCCAACTATTCCTGGCCTACCCTGGAGTGTGGTTAATGTACGCAGAGATGCTCCACTGGAGAACACTCATATTCCCATTTCTAGCCAGTAACAATTGAAAAAAACCTTCTTGATTAGGACTAACTTTGTGTCCACTTCCCCTTCTCAGTGTTGGGATCATGTCTAGTTTGAACCTGTACAGATCTTGTGCATGCTGTCACAGTCTCTGTGAATTCACATGTGCACCAGTCCTGTTGGGTCTGGAGGTACTGCT